CATATATGAGACCCAAATGGAGTTGTGGACTCCCAGCTCCGGTGTGGATCAGCCCTGGTCATTCAGGCCATTTGGGAAGTGAATCAATGGATGAAAGGTCTTTCTCTCACTCTGCTTTTCAAATCAATCAATCAATCTTAAAAACTTTTTGATGGGGCAGACATGGTACAACAGATTACACTGCCACTTGGGATGCCCACCCATTACTCTGGAATGCTGGTTTGAGTCTCGGCTACTCCACTTTTGATTCGGCTTCCTACTGATGCATCCTGGGAAGCAGCAGAGGATGCCTCAAGTGCTTGGGACCATTACCCACATAGAAGACCCGGATGGAGTTCCAGGCTCACAGCTTTGGCCTAGCCTGGCCCTGGCTGTTGTAGCCATTTGGGGAATAAACCAGTGGGTGGAAGATCTCTCTCTGTTAATGTGCCTTTCAAGTAGATGAAAATAAATTTTTTTTGACAGGCAGAGTGGACAGTGAGAGAGAGACAGAGAGAAAGGTCTTCCTTTTGCTGTTGGTTCACCCTCCAACGGCTGCAGCGGCCAGCACACCGCACTGATCCGAAGCCAGGAGCAAGGTCTTCTCCTGGTCTCCTGTATGGGTGCAGGGCCCAAGCACTTGGGCCATCCTCCACTGCACTCCCTGGCCACAGCAGAGAGCTGGCCTGGAAGAGGGGCAACTGTAACAGAACCTGGTGCCCCGACCGGGACTAGAACTCGGTGTGCCGGTGCTGCAAGGCAGAGGATTAGCCTAGTGAGCCACGGCATCAGCCTGAAAATAAATTTTTATTTTATTTTTTATTTTTATTTTTTTGATAGGCAGAGTGGACAGTGAGAGAGACAGAGAGAAAGGTCTTCCTTTGCCGTTGGTTGATCCTCCAATGGCCGCCGCGGCCGGCACACTGCGGCCGGCACAACACGCTGATCCGAAGGCAGGAGCCAGGTGCTTCTGGTCTCCCATGGGGTGCAGGGCCCAAGCACTTGGGCCATCCTCCACTGCACTCCCGGGCCATAGCAGAGAGCTGGCCTGGAAATATATATATATTTGAGAGGCAGAGCTACAGAGAAGGGGAGACACAGAGAGGGAGAGATCTTCTATCCGCTGGTCCACTCCCCATTTGGCTGCAACAGCCGGAGCTGGACCAATCAGAAACCAGGAGTCAGGAGCTTCTTCCAGGTCTCCCAAGCCTTTTGGCCGTCCTCCAGTGTTTTCCCAGGCCGTTAGCCAGGAGCTGGATCCAAGTGGTGCAGCCGGGACTCAAACCAACGCCTGTAAGGGATGCTGGCGGAGACTTAACTACTATCCACAGCTCTGGCCCGTTTCAGAGGTTTAACAGGAGTCAGAAACACACACACACACACACACACACACAGGAGTCAGGCTGGTATCTGCTGGAAGTAGGGGAGCATGACGTTGTGTCTACTACAGCGGTTTACAAGGCTGAAGAATGAGCGTGGGCTGATGGACACCACCTACGACACAATGAGGCATTTGCCCTCCCCAGCACTGGTGGCCTCCAGGAAACAGTAGTGCAAAGCCGAAGCCCAGGACAAAGCGGAGCCCTTGCACAAGGCAGCAGCACCTTGGAGAGCAGCACCCGAAAAAGCTGGCTCCGAGTTTCAGAGAATCTAAGGCTCCAGCCGCTAAACTAAAGTGCCCTTGGCGGGCCTGCCTGGGCCGGCACTGCAGTGTAACGGGTAAAGCCACCACCTGTGATGGCAGCAGCCCATATAGGCGCCGGTATGTGTGGATCAAAAGCGGAGTAATCAGGATACGGCTCCACTTCCGGCCCAGCTCCCTGCTACTGTCCTGGGAACGCAGAGGATGATGGCCCAAATCTTGGGCTTGGCCCCTGCGCCCTGATGAGACCAGGAAGCTCCTGACTTCAGCCTGGCCAAGTTCTGGCTGTTGCAGCCATCTGGGGAGTGAACCAGTGGATGGAAATCTCTTTGTGTCTCCCTCTCTGTAACTCTGCTTTTCAAATAACTAAAATCAGTCTTATCAAATGAAATAAACTGCTACACTTCCCTCGTCTCTGGCTGGTTTCTCAGCCTCGGGAGCCCTGTTTTGCATTGCCCAGGCTTCTCAAACGAGGAGACTGTGCCCTCGTTAACAGGGATTAATAACAAGGACAACAAAAAGAACAAGGATACTTAAAAAAAAAAAAAAAAAAAAGCCGATCGGGCCCGGCGGATGGCGACACCGAGGGCGTGCGCCGATCGGGATCCGCGAGGCCGGATGCTGGCTCTGCGCCTGGCCGCGCCCACCCGGGGCCGGCCCCAGAGAGAAGGGACCGTCAGCCCAGTGCCTGTGACCTCCGACTATCCGCCCCACGGCACCGCCTCCGTGACCGCACAAACTCCCACGAAACCCCGTGACCCGGAGCCGCGACCCGAGCGCGGGAATGTGGCGGGCACCCTAACCACCGGAAGCGGAAGTGGAGCTCCAGAAAGGTACCGGAAACTACTACGTTTCCCAGAGGTCCCTGCTCGCAGACAGACAGCAGTGCTGACCAATGAGGTAACGAGGGCCTCTCCGGCGCCCGTTAGTTTCCCAGGGTGGGCAGGCCAGTGCCAGCGCGCGCGTCGGGCGGCGGGTGAGGGGACCCCCGGGCTGCAGAGCTTGGGAACGTATTCGTCGACGGCCCAGAGCGGCCGTTGCTCCTGCTTACCCCCTTGCCCTGGCGGCTTGGCCCGAGTCTCTGTCAGTGTGCAGCTGGGACCCCAGATGTCCTGCGGGTTGAAGCGCCTCGCTGTGGCGGGGCTGCGCCGGCGACGACAGTGCGTCCCCACTTCCCCGCCCCTGCACACACATCTCGTTTCCCGGGGGAGCGCTCGCTCACGCCACCGCCGACCGCGGGGCCGCGCGCTGTGCGGGGTGGCAGAGGGTGCGCGTTCCCGCGCGGTGCGGTAAGTGCTAAAGGGTCGAGCGTTCAGAGGCGGCGGCTGGGAGAGCCCGGGAGGGCAGTCGTTCCGCTCGGCCCTCACTTGGCGGAATCCCCGAGTCTCTCCTGCTTCACAGGTGAAACGTCCGAGGGTCGGGGAGGGGTCCCCGGGGAGCGCTGAGAGCACTAACGGGGCAGCTTTCGGCCCCGGGGACCCGCTAGGGAGAGCCGAGGCCCGGCCCGGGGCAGCTCCGCTTCACCGGTGGGGAGCTTAGGGAGCCCGGACAGGTGTCAGGCCGTGATCGGAGCTACGCCAGGGGCTTCGGGAGGCTGTGAGCGAGGTGAGGGAGGAAGACTTGGCCGCGTGCCGGGCTGCGGGTGCGGGAGGCCGGGTGCTTCCCCAAGGGAAGTACAGGGGCGGGCAGGCAGGGAGGCGAGTTCTGGACGGGCGGAGAGTGCGGCTCTAGGAACAGCGCCAGCGGGGGTGCAGGCTGCAGGAGCAAGCCGGAGAGCCCGGACCCCAGAGGAAACAGCCAACCAGGTCTCTGGGCTGCGCCTGGAGGCCAGCTGAGGTTTGTGGTCTGGGGGGGGGGAGGCGCAGCGCACACCTGGCGGGTTCCAGGGTCTCTGAGGATGTGAGCTGAGCCTGGGGGCTGCCTCTGAGAACTGCCCCAAGAGTGTGGGGAGTGGGACCCGGAAGTGGCCAGAGTCACTGAAGTCCTGCGGAGGGGCCCCTCCCAGCGAGATGGAGACAGTTGTCTTGTTGTTTCTGCTTTTAGTGTAGATTTCTGATCGTCCCAAGGTGAATGCCGTGGTCCTGGAGGTCAGCTGGTGACTGGAGCTCCGTCCCTAAACATAGGGACCCGTGTGGGGAAAGAGCAGACACAGGTGGTACCTGAGCTGGGGCGGAGGGGCACCTGCCCAGGCCATCAGGGCTCCCGGAATTCCTTCGGGGAAGAGGACCGTGTCTTTCCTCCCAGCACGGAGCCACGGGACACAGTGCACGCCCACCCCTCATCGCCTCTGTGGGCCTGCCTGGAGGACGCAGGCCATGATGGCCTGGCGACCTTTCAGGACCCACCATTTGTCCTTCCCCCGCCTATTGCGGCCTAAGGCTGCAGTTCCAGCTACGCTGCTCCCACCCCCACCCCAAGATGCTGTCTTCCTGCTAGATGGGGAGGAGTTCAAGGTTTCAAGTGCGTACCATGAACTCTTCTCTCAAGTTGACACTTACACATCTAGTGCCCTCTTCTACTCAAGAGTCCCGTAATCGAGTCCCGGAACTCATTTTCCTCAGGAGACCGCCCTGTGGAGTCTCCCTGGCAGGCCCGCTCTCTGTCTTCCCAGATGGAGGAGACGCCTCCTCCGCTGACAGGCACTGCAACTGTCCACATCCCCCCGCCCGGCACCAGCTGTCACGGCAGAGTCCTTGGTGAGCGTCTCTGGCAGACGCAGGGATGGAGTGAGCAGTGGCAACTCCACGGCCTGCTAGATTGGGTTTAGCAGCTGTGACAGCCTGAAACTCCCTGGGTCACTCGGCTGATCCGGGGTACACAGGACTCCCAGCGAGGGCTCGGGAGCCGCCTGGATCCTAAGCCAAGGCTTCTGCTGCAAGTCCTGGACGTAGAGCAGCAGAGTCCGGGTTCGTTAATGTAACGTCGGTGAAGCAGCTGACATCTCCTCGCGAAGATCTTGGCCCCTTTCAGCCTGGAGAAGTGGCTGTGGGGAGGTGGGACAGGGAAGTGAAGCGCTGGCTTGCTAACTGGCAAGTTCAGCTTCTTAGCACGCCTTAAAAAGAACAGATACTGGCATGGTGGTGGACTGGGTTGAGGTGCCACCCGTGAAGCTGGCAGCCCACGTCAGAGTGCACGTTCGAGTCTAGGATGCCCCAGTTCCCATCCAGCTCCCTGCTAATGCTCCTGGGAATGCAGAGGAAGGTGGCCCAAGTCCCTGGGCCCCTGCAGTCCGTGAGGGAGACCAGATCCAGTTCTAGGCTTCTGGCCTTCGCCTGGCCCAGCCCTGGCTGTTGTGGCCCTTTGGTGAGTGAACCAGTGGATAGAAGCGCTCTCTCACTCTGCCTTTTGAATAAATAAATCTTTAAAAAAAAAACCAGACTCAGAACGGGACTCCACTTTATTCGGCGGCGTGCCACGTCTGTCCCCTGGGAATCCAGGCTGATTCTGAGCAGATTCCACAGGCAGCAGCAGGTGGCGACCTCCCATTTCTGGGAAACACCTGCCCGCCCCCCTTCCTTTTAGCAACCCCCTCATCTGCTCGCATTCCCGTCTCCACTGCCAGCATCCCCAGGTCAGCGGTGACAGGAGGAGGACAAGCTCCGGCCCCCAGCCCCCGTCTCCCCAGAAGCGCTGATGTCCTCAATCAACCCTTAACGGTGTTCTCAGTACAGAAAAGCGGACAGAGTGCTAGCTCTGCAGAGAAAGTGAAAACGTTAACAGGGAGATCACGAATGCATAGACGGAGTTAACTCAGGAGTCTGGGCGTGGGAGTCTGCAGGTTGCAGGACTGTTGGCCCTTGATGAGACAAACCGGCACCCCGGACGGCAGGTGTCCTGGGGTCCAACGTCACGCTGCAAACACGAGGCCCAGGGTCAAGTGTGTTCCCCTGACAGCCGACTTAACACAGGGCAGTGAGCAGACCACGTGGTGCCCTCTGTGCAGACCTCTCCCGACAGGCCCTGGCCTCCGACCAGTGGAAGGGGCGCTGGGGCCTGCGTTCCAGGCTGCAGCGTGTTGGTTCTGGACACTTTACGGAAATAGAAAGGGCTTGACCTTCACGTGCGTGTCTCGGAGCTGCAGAGGCCCCTCCATCGTGAGCTGATACTGAAGCCCAAGACGGCGCAGACGGGAGAAGCAGGTTCTGCTGTGGGCAGGGACCCGGGAGGCTGGCGGCTTGGGGTGAAGGCACCTTGGCCCAACAGTGGCAGCAAAACAACCACACACACACACACATGTCTGGTATTTCTTTGTCTTCCGTCTCACACAGAGACACATTTCCCCCTCCCCCCAGGCCAAGGAGGAAACTGAGGCACAGAAGAATCAGGGAGAAGCCCAACCAAGCGGTGAAACATGAGACCCAGTTTCTGTTCTCGAACGTGGCGAGGCTGGCCTCTGCCCAGTGCCCTAGGAATGAGAGCCGGGCAAGACTGCAGCAGAGGAAACCCCAGGGATGGTTCAGGGGGCCGGCTCCCCCTCCCCCCGCAGCGTCAGCACGGCTCCTCCTCCACGTGGGTCCGCTGCTGGGTGGTGAAGTTGGTCCCCCTCCCCCCGCAGCGTCAGCACAGCTTCCCCTTCACGTGGGTCCGCTGGTGGGTGATGAAGTTGGAGCTGTTGCTGAAGCCCTTGCCGCACTCGGGGCACCGGTAGGGCTTCTCCCCGGTGTGGATGCGCTGGTGGATGATGAGGACCGAGTTCCAGCTGAAGCCCTTGCCGCACTCGGGGCAGCGGTAGGGCTTGTCGCCCAGGTGTGCCCGCTGGTGCATGACGAGGATGGAGCCGCGGCTGAAGCTCTTGCCGCACAGGAGGCACTGGTAGGGCCGCTCGCCGGTGTGCACGCGCTGGTGCACCACGAGCTGCGAGCGCTGGCTGAAGCCCTTCCCGCACTCGCCGCACTTGTGCGGCCGCTCGCCCGTGTGCACGCGCTGGTGCTTGACCAGGTTGGAGCTCCAGCTGAAGCTCTCGCCGCACGCCCGGCACTCGTAGGGCTTCTCGCCGGTGTGCACGCCCTGGTGCGCGATCAGGCTGGAGCTCTGGCTGAAGCTCTTCCCGCACGCCCCGCACTTGTAGGGCTTCTCCACCAGGTGCGTGCGGCGGTGCGTGGCCAGGTTGGAGCTGCGGCTGAAGCTCTTGCCGCACTCGGCGCACTGGTAGGGCTTCTCGCCCGTGTGCGTGCGCCGGTGCGTGATGAGCGCCGAGCTCTGGCTGAACCTCTGGCCGCACTCGCTGCACGCGTAGGGCTTCTCGCCGGTGTGGATCCTCTGGTGCCGGATGAGGTTGGAGTTGTAGCTGAAGCTCTCGCCGCACTCCTTGCACGCGTAGGGCTTCTCGCCCGTGTGGATGCCCTGGTGCGTGTTGAGGCTGGAGCGGTTGCCGAAGCTCTTGCCGCACTCGGGGCACGAGTAGGGCTTCTCCCCGGTGTGGGTGCGCTGGTGGGCGATGAGATTGGGGCTCCTGCTGAAGCTCTTGCCGCACTCGGCGCACTGGAAGGGCTTCTCGCCCGTGTGGACGCGCTGGTGCGTGATGAGGTTGGCGCTGCGGCTGAAGCTCTTCCCGCAGTCCCGGCACTTGTAGGGCTTCTCCCCCGTGTGGGTGGTCTGGTGCCGGCTGAAGTTGGAGCCGTCGCTGAAGCTCTTCCCGCACTCGTCGCACTTGTAGTACTTCTCGCCCGTGTGCGTGCGCTCGTGCGTGATGAGGTGGGACTTCCGGCTGAAGGTCTTCCCGCACTGCGGGCACTCGTAGGGCTTCTCACCCAGGTAGGTGCCCTGCAGGCCTATGAGCTGGCCCTCGTCCCTGCCCTGGGGCGGCACCTCCCCGCGGGCCCGGGACGCACGGCCTGTCTCGGAGTCACTCTCCCCGTTGTCGCTGTGTGTGTCAAAATCTGTAACAACGAAAACAACACAGTGCCGACTCGATTCCTAAGGAAACCAAAGGGACACGTCTGCCAACTAAACTTCTAGTGGAAAAGGAGAGGCTGGGAGGGAACCGACACCCTGAAGGTTTGTTTCCTTCCAATGGCGCACGTGCGTGTCAGGCCGCGCACACTGTGGCCACGGCCTGGAGCTGAGAGTCTTAAAAGGTCCCATGACTCTTAACTGTCTCTCCCCTGGGACACAAGGTCAGGTCCTAATTAGAGGGCAGCAACGGGTACACAATGCCCTCTACACCGCCCTGGTGCCCGTTCTCTGTAGGTGCCCAGTCTGCTGTTGGGGCAGGTGTGTGGCGCGGTGTTAAGACTCTCCTGGGACGCCCACGCGCCACAGTGGAGTGCCTGGCTTCCGGTCTCAGCTCCACTCAACGCCAGCATCCTGCAGTGAGGCCCTGGGAGGCAGCAGGTGATGGCTGGAGCAGCGGAGTCCCTGTGGATTATGTTCTCAGCTCCTGACTCCGGCCTGGCCCAGCCCTGGCTGCAGCCGCATCCGGGAGTGAACCAGCGCATGGGAGATCTGTGTCTGCCTGTATCTCTGTTTTTCAAACAAATAATTAAAAAAAAGCACAGGGCTGGCGCTGTGGTGCAGCAGGTTAAAGCCCCGACCTGCAGCACCAGCATCCCATATGGACACAGGTTCAAGTCCTGGCTGCTCCACTTCTGATCTAGCTCTCTGCTGTGGCCTAGGAAAGCAGCAGAAGATGGCCCAAGGCCTTGGGCCCCCACATAGGAGGCCTGGAAGAGGCTCCTGGCTCCTGGCTTTGGATCGGCCCAGCTCTGGCCATTGCAGCCATTTAGGGAGTGAACCAGTGGATGGAAGACCTCTCTCCCTCTATCTCTTTGCTTCTGTAACTCTGCCTTTCAAATAATAAATAAATATTTTTTTAAAAAAATAAAGCAATAAATACATTTGATGAATAACTTAACTGGTTTCTTTTTTTTTTTTTAATTTGTACCAGAGAAGTTTCCCTAAAACTCAGTCTCCTTGCCAAAGGAACTTATACAATGACCTCTTGCATTACAATGTGCCCAGTGTCTTACTACTTGGCATGTAACACATGACAAAATGACAGCAAGGACCCTCGGACCATTTGTCTACACAAATCAAACAAGTGGGCAGTTCAAGGAGCCCTCAAACTTGCTTACACATTGAGCCTACAGATGAGCGTTTTGTTTTTTAAAAACTTACGCAGTTATAATGACAGGAGGACAGAGATGGAATCTTCCGTCCCCTGGTTTACTCCCAAATGTCCACGACAGTCAGGGCTGGGCCAGCTGAAGCCAGAAGTCAGAATCTCCATCCAGGTCTCCCAGGTGAGTATAGGGAACCAAGCGCCTGGGCCATCTTTTGCTGCTTTCCCAGGCACATTCACGTGGAACTGGATAGGAAGTGGAGCAGCCAGGACTTGACCCGGCACTCTGATATGGGATATGGGCATTACAAGTGCAGCTTAACCAGCTGTACCACCCCCCCATGGACTTTTTACATTGGTAATACAAAATATTCAGCTTCTATGAACTTGTCAAACCCCCTCCTGCTCAACACTTAGCAAACATGTGGGTGAAAAAGACTTATTGGGAGGAGGGGAAGGTGGGCATTCAGTGTAGTGGTTAAGTTGCCATGTGCGACACCTGTTTCCCATATTGCAGTGCCCGGCTCGAGTCCTGGATCTTCCACTTCCAATCCAGTTTCCTGCTGATGCACACCCTTGTGAGGGAGCAGGTGATGGCTCAAGGACGTGGGTCTCTGCTGCCCACATGGGAGACCTGGATAGAGCTCCTGGCTTCTGACTTCAGCCTGGCCCAGCCCTGGCTGTTGCAGGCATTTGGGGAGTGAACCAGCAGATGGAAGGTCCCCCCCCCCCACCTCTGGTTTTCTTTCTCTCTGCCTTTCAAATAAAATGAAAATAAATTAAAGCCAGGGGCAGGTGTTGTGATGGAGCTGGTTAAACTGCTGCTTGTGACGCCTACGTCCTCTTAGAATGGCTGGTTCGAGTCCCAGCTCCTCTGCTTCTAATCCAGCTTCCTGGTAAAACAATCCTGGGAGCAAGTGGGTGATGGCTCACGTGCTTGGGCCCCTGCCACCCACATGGACGAACCGAATGAGGTTCCTGCATCCTGGCTTCAGCCTGGCCCTTCCTTGGTGATTGCAGGCATTTAGGGAGTGAACCAGTGGATGGAGATCTCTCTTTCTCTCTGTTGTCCTGCCTTCCAAATGGATGAAAATAAACAAACATTTAAAAAGAAAGAAAAGGATATACAAAGACCCCAGTAGGATTTCCAGAAGAAATAGATGAGAGGCTCTGAAATCTGCCCTAGGTGCAGCCAGACAGGCAGAGGGCTGGCACCTGGATACGCCTCTGCCCCGGGTAACTGTGTTTCCTGGACTGTGTGTTGGTTTAACAGCCCTGGCTAACAGAGACATATGCTCCAGGAAGTGTCACTAGAAACTGATGGCTGTCGCAACACTGATGGTGCCAGGAAGCCGCTGACAGTACTGTTTATACCCAGGACGTGCTCTTGACGAGCCTGGAGAAGTCTCCCTCTTGAGCTCTATACCAAAAAGCGCCATTCTTCTGGGTGACCAGTTTGTGTCCACCTCATGCTCATGGTTGTTGCTCCTTTCACCACGCCTGCCGGGAAGCTCAGAGCCAAAAGCTTACACCAAGAATACTGAACGTTTTTATAGCATGCATTTCGTATGTTATGATTTCAGGTTCTTCCTCCCACTCTTCCCTGTTTACTGCAATTCCCTTGTGCTCTATTTTTGTGTCTCTCCCCCTTTTGTAGAGTGTGTAGAAATGAATTAACAACTTTATGTCACAGCCTGATTATTCCTCAGACCCCAAAAATCAGAGCTTCTGAGAAAGCAGGAGGGCAATTAGTAAAATAATCACACACAGTCCTAGTGAACACTCCACTGTTAGAGTGAACTCACTGTTCAGGGTTAGGTGTTCACTTCAGCAATTACTAGTTTCTGAAAATTAACGTCAATTTCCATATGTCAGCATGGTAAAATCTGACATGCGTCTTGTCAGGCAGGACCCGGGCTCAGCACGAGCTCACACTCAGACTTGTAAACAGACCTTATTAAATGAACATACACACACACACACACACACACACACACGCTGATAGCCTGCAGACGCCACAGCCAACAGGCAGGAGGGCACAATGCCCTCCCCCACCTCCCCCAACCCCATCCCGGCCAGAGCCTGGAATTCTGTTTCCTCAGCTCCCAAGACAGGCCTTCTTGCAAGTTCTGAACACGGAGCTCTGTGTATCTCTTCTGTGGGACTTCTGGGCTGAAGATTCTATTTATTTTTAGCAAGCTAACATGACCAAAAGCATTTTGGGAGTGACTTTAGTAACTGTTCTCTTCTGAACAGGTGACATCAGCTAGTAAGGACTTTTACTGTTTTACATTTAGAACTGGTTAAGTTCTAGGGCTGGCACTGTGGTACAGTGGGTTAAAGCCCCGGCCTGAAGCACCGGCATCCCATGTGAGAGCTGGTTCAAGTCCCGACTGTTCCACTTCCAATCCTTCTCCCTGCTAATGCACCTGGGAAAGCAGCGGAGGATGGCCTTGGGCCTCTGCACCCACATCGGAGACCCAGAAGAATCTCCTCACTCCTGGCTTTGGACTGGCTCAACTCTGCCTGCCTGTTGTGGCTATTTGGCGGAGTGAACCAGCAGACAGAAGATCCCCCCCCCCCCCCCGTCTCTACTTCTTTCTGTAAGTCTTTCAAATAAATAAAATAAATCTTAAAAAAAAAATCTGGTTAAGTTCTGGTATGAACTCAGAAGCAACAGTGAAAGCAGTACAAGTCCACACTTCAGGGAGGGTGTGCTGATGCAGCCAGTTAAGTCGCCACCTGGGACACTTGCATATTAGGGTGCCTTGGACTGAATTCTGCTCCTGCTTCAATCCACCTTCCCGTTAATGCACATACAAGAGCAGCAATGATGGCTCAAATACCTGGGCCCCTTCCACCCACGTGGGAGACCTGGGTGGATTCCAGGCTCCTACCCTTGGTCTGAACCAGACACAGGCTGTTACGGGCATTTGGGGAGCGAACCAGAAGATGAAAGATACCTATAGCTCTGCATCGCTCTGCCTTCCTAGTAAATAAAAATAAAAAGCCAAAACTTCATTTTCAGTGAAATTAAAAGCAAGATGCAGTTGCAGACATCAAAGTACACGTCAGGTCTTCACAGAACAGCAGGACTGGGTGGAAAGGCTGAGAACGGAAGGGGAGAGGCCAACATGGAAAGTGATGGGGCGGGGGAGGCGGGCGTCACCCTCCAGCATGACAGTGTGTTGGGAAGCGGGTGAGCAGTACTGGCTCCTGTGGTTCCTGGAAGCTGAGGCGACAGGCAGAATGGCACAGGTGAGCCCTGCACAGCAGAGAAGAGGAGAGCCCGAGACTCGCACCCAACAGTCAGGGGACTTCACTATCACTGAGAAAAGGCACCGTCCTCCACCCACAGAAACAGGTTCGAGAATAAAGCACCTGTCTGAAGCAAGACCTGGGGCGGAACGTGAGGAACAGGAGGAGAGGAAACTCAAGCTGGGGGGAAGAAACCCACCCCGGGGAAATGGGGCCAACCTGGGAAGGCCCACAAGGGATCCCGGCACCCCCACCCACCCCGGGGAAATGGGGCCAACCTGGGAAGGCCCACAAGGGATCCCGGCACCCCACCCCCCACCCCCGGGAAGGTGCAGAGGAGGAAAGGGAGAATGGCAATTACACGCGCTGGACACGAGTTTCAGGGATTAGAGGGTGGCATGAACAGAGTGAGGTAAAAGGAGAACGACTATGTAACCAGAGCTCCCAAAGAAGAAAAAACCAAAGGAGCAGAAACTGCAAAGCCGCTCCCTCCAAAGGAATACTGCCCGCCAAGGAAAACCAACCCAGCCAAGGGCGGTTTTCAATAGCCAGGCAGGCGGG